TATTAAAAAAATTTCATCTTTAAAATTGGAATGGTAAATCTTACGTCTTGTTAGTTCATCCTTGTCCATTCGGGTTTCTGGTTCCTTTTATCTACTGAGGATTAGCGCTGACAAATGTAGATGATGCCAAGATATCCCTCTGGTGACGAGTTTTAACAATATATTTGAATTTCCATCGGATGAATAATAATAATAATTATTATTATTATTTTTTTTTATCTAATAACAAAGCGATATTACTTCTAATATTGCTTTGTTATTAGATTACTTTGGAAATAAAATATTTTATCAAAAAATTTAACTATTAAATATTATACATCAGTTTGAAAGAAATTTTATTTATAATAGTATAGAATTAATGAACACAATCAGATGGCCCTTGGATGGCAATACAAAGATGTTGAGTCAATCAAAATAAACTTTCATTTTGATTGACTCAACATCTTTGTATGGCCTTCACATCAAATTTTTAAAGTGAAAGTCTAATTCTTTGGATCAGTTGTGGTATTTTTGCTCATCAATCTTTCTTGTATACTATTTGTACCAAATATTCAAAGAAATCCTCAACTGGCTGTCATTGTGGCAGACTTGATAGATTATGTTATTTTTGTACAAAGGAATGGTTTTTCTTTGAGGAACTCCAAGACCAAATTTGCATAGAGAGATGAAGCTTTGTCAAGCCAAAAGATGAATTTGTCATTTTAATGATACTTGTTAAGAAAAGGGATTATCTTTAGATATTAATTTTGGTATGTGTCAGCATCAATTGAGAGAGATCCCTTCTTTAAAAAATGGCTTCAAAACACCTACTGGTAAAATGACAATGTAGAGCATGACTTTTTCTTTAAATTTCTTCTTAAATTTTTACTTTAAGAAGTGCTTGATTTTCATTGCATAATAAATTTCATTTCCTGGCATTTGCAAGCTGAAGATAGAAAAGTACTTCTTGTCATCCTAAACAAATGTGCCATCTGCATTACATTAGGATTTCAGCAAAATGCAGCTAAAAGATACTACCACCAATTTTTTTTTGAGTGGTTTGCTTTATTTTTGTACATTTGTACAACATGTTCTTCTAATATATTTGCTTTTGAAGCTGTTTTTCCAAAATGACTCACAAATGTTCAAAAAATTCACACACTGTAATTGAGCATGTGTATTGATGTAATTTTTGGTGGAAAGATTTTAGAATCTTTTTGAGTTCAAAAGTTATGATGCTTTAAATCCAGTCCAGATATTTTTGTCTCATCCTGTTAATATGCATCTTTACATTATCTGCACCTGATTTTTAGAGAGATAACCTATAACTTATTTGCAGGATTTAATTCTATTGCATCCCTATCTATATCTCTTTACAATGTGTTACAAAATTGATTATTATGTAACAATTTATGAAATTTTTCTGTAACTCGGTCTCTTTTTTGAGATAAGAAATAAATTGATACAATTTTACAGATGCAATCTTCTGTTTATACCCTGTATCTAAAATAGAAAATACATTACTTTAATAAAATTTCATGATGCTATGAACAGAAAATTGTAAGATACCAAAGTGCCTAATTTCGAATTATGTGGGTACCATACGACCTTTCTTGCACCTTCATTATTCAAAGACTCCCCTGGGGCATTGGTAGTGTCATGTGCAGTTGCCCTTGTGTAAGCGCGAGCGATATTATATATTAAGTTATTATACCCATGCTGTGTGGCCATTTCCTGAATGTGTTTTAGCTCATCTATCGTGTCTTCATAATTAGAGTTGTGCGTGAACGCCCTCTTAGTTAAGGCCCGAATTACAGTGATCTTGTAAGAATACGGATCCTCCGAGTTGGTGGGGATGAAGAGCGGTCTTAGTGATGGATGAAATTTCCTGTATATTTTATCCAGATGGTGATTGTATCGTACAACCTTTCTTGCACCTTCACTATTCAAAGACTCCCCAGGGGCAATGGTAGTGTCACGTGCATTTGCCCTTGTGTGGGTACACAAATTGTTGAGAACATCACACAATATTAATTTGTTCAGAGACCATCCACTATCCATTGAAGTTGATAACCATGTGATGTTCTCAACACATTTGTGTTATTACTCATATCTCAAAACTAGGCATCCAGGACATACAAAACTTTAATTAACAAAAGTCTATGAGATTACTCATATACATGTCTCCACATGGGCACCCGCAGATGCAACAACCATCTCCTTGTCCAAATTTAGACTGGAAATGGGAAGACTGCCCATGCCCAGTGAGAACTTGGGTCAGTAACCAATTACAACTTTTAGGAGTTAGACCAACTTCAGGCACAAAGGCATAGGTATAAACCTACCTACTATACTTAGGTTACAGCACTCTTGCCAGTGTGGCATCAATTTTTGCAGTAGAGTACCTTTTACGTAAATATCTGATCTACCTTACTTATAACCTGTATTACATCAAAAATTTGCATTTTTATAAAACAGGAATAAATGATAAATGAATACCTATTTGAGTGATAGCAACTCAAATGCTAGTTTTTTTCACTAATATACAGTATTGTTAATTATAAATAATAATTTATAAAAATTGTGTGATAAATAATTCCTACTTCATTTATCTACTAATTTTTTTGTGCTATATAAACAAATACTCATATAATTCATTGTAAAATATATATATATGTTTACATCTTTAAGACTTATTAAAAATTAACCTTTCTATTTAAAATCATTCTTTACAGAAATTTGAAATTATTATCTGGACTTTATACGAAATCTTTATCATCATTAATGGAAAAGTTAGGGATATCCTGAGCCTTTAATTTGAACTATATACTGTACTTAAATAAGATGCCATTAAATCTAACATGCACCTTAATTTCTACATATTCACCCAAAGTTTTTTTTCTTTTGGAAAAATAAATAATTTAAGAGAAACTTATAACAGAAGAACTGATTCTATTGATGTAAATTTATTCAGTATTTATTGCTCAGTAAAAAAATTAGTGGATAAGCAAGTAGAAATTACAGTGCATCTTAAAAATTTGAGTGAATACAATATATAGTTTGAATTAGACTCAGGATATATCCCTAACTTTTCCTTTAATGACAAGAAAATTGCATGTTGGAAAAATTAATGATGTTTTTCCAATACTTTAAATGGCACTGGGGTGGATTGTATGTGGGAAGATGTGAGCATCAAATTCCACATTAATTTAGAAGAGTCTAACATGAAAGTGAAAAGGCTTCCAATTTTAATTTAACAAAAAATAGTAATATTATTTCAGTCTTTCATGGAACTGAAGTTGAAAACCTTTTCACTTGCCATGCTAAGACTCTTCTGAATCAGCACAGAATTCGATGCTCACATCATCCCACATGCAATCTACCTCAGTGCCATTTAAACCATTAGATGTGCGAAATTTCTTGAATGAGTGTTACATTACTTTTTCTGGGATTTCATCCATTTACTTATTATGTTATTGTAATAGACTAATGAAATTGAGCTAATCTGACATCTTAAGTATTTGTTATTACAAATATTTGTAAAGATTTTATTAAATCATTAAAATGATGAAATGGAAATACTTTGTAGTAACAAAGAACATGGCACTAGAGTTTGTTAATTATGATATACTATATCAAATCTAAAATACATCCCATTGTCAGAGATACTAAAACCTGGAAAAAAGTGCATCTCACATTGAAATAAACACAATAATTGAAAACTTGCAACAGAGCCAATACACTTGTGTATTGTCAAAAAACAATAATTAGGAGCAACATGCATCCACCATTACTAAATAATAAAGACTTCCTTGATGATGTAACAATGCTGCTTTTTATTAATAAACTCAGGATTTCATAACTTAATTACATTTATTGAATATGGAAATTAAAGCACAAACCTCTATTCGTGTAGCTTATTTTTTGATCTAATAAAGCTACTTGAAGACGATAAAAATATTTAATTCATGAATCTACACGGATAAACTGATCTAACTCTAACAAATCTTTTTTCCACTATCTCCAGTTTTATTTAGATTTAGTTGCACATGTTAAAATGTCACTTTTACAAACCATTTTTAAATTAATGTACTAATCATATTAAGTTTAAAAAACTTCTTTTTTGTACTTTTTGCAAAGTTTCTATCTTATATTTATTTATTTAATTTCATCTATTATAATATCTATCATTTTTTAAATATTCAAATAAGTCTTTGTACTTTTTAACAATCTATCATCCAAACATAGTTTACTATGCTACAGAAGCATTTAAAAAGTTTATAATGTGACTATGTTCTGAAATTATTTTATAATCACTTATAGATTTAGTATAACAAATTGTAAAATTTTATGTACACAGGCGTGTATCAGACGTAGTTCAAATTCATTAAGCATCAATCTTTTTGTATACCTTAATATATTATTATTAATTGTATGTAATAAAATGCATTTAAACATTCAATTCTTAAAAAAATAAAAATTATGTCTACTCCAACTATACAAGTGCAAATAAATTACTCCCCATTTAAATATATTATAATCACACCTTTTCTGAAAGGAACAGGGCAAGATTATGTTAACAGAGAAGTGATTATAACGTTAAGAACTTAACATTTATGCCAATTTCATCCTAACAATCTCATACATTGAACAGATTAGTATAAGTTGACTTTTATTTGAAGTGTCACATCAACTTATTTTAATTATGGATACACTTTCATTAGAGTATTTGTGAATAATTTCAATCAATTTTTTGAGTTATATTTCGCTTCTAATCGAGAATAATGACATAAAAGTCAAACGCAGACGAAACAAGTCCATTTATGATTAGGCTTAGTTGAATATTTGATCAACCCTGCCCCACTTACAAACATGACTAAAAAAAATAAACGATCGGAGCGAAGAATGATTTCTTGTACTTTGTTCTATTATCTCATACATATTTAAGTACTTACTAATAAAATATATAGAATAATTTGACAAAATAAAAAAAAGAGGATAAAGCCAACATCGATACTAACCCTAACGTACGGCGGGAAAACTATCCTTAACCATCGCGCGTCATTTGAACGGTTTAAACCATATTCCCAGACGAAGGTAATCGATGATCGTCTCACCTGCCGTTATATGAATGCGTTGAGTTTTTTAATCAGTTGTCAAAGTGAAAGATAATTTGCACCAAATATCACTTTAAGCGCGATCTACTCTCGCTTCTCGGCTTTAGTTGACAAAATGTTGAATGGCAAGATGGCGACTAAGCATCACGTGACCCGGAGGTTTTTCACGAAAGATTTCTGGTAAATAAACGAATCGGAGCACACCGTTGCCATCACGTGAACTTACAGAGCATAGCCAATCACATTTGCCAATAATGTGTTGCCATGTCGTCAAATTACTCCCCCCGTCATGCCGCGCCTTTTCATCGACCAATAGGCTTTTCTTCTGGATTGCTGAAAATTTCATGGTGTTTCGGGATTGTTGCAATACTCTGTTTTCTTTTTGCATACTTCTGAACAATTTCGGTTTTCTTCTTCAATGTTCTTGCTTCAACAAAATCCATTGCAATCAATCACAGTTCATTACATGAAAATTAGCTTTGGATGCCCAAATTTTCGTGCTAGTACTGTGATGAAATAAAAATAATTCTTTCTTCAACTGTCACATATTTCAGAAAACAGAAATAATCTTTCCTATGAACCTTATCAGATTATATAAGACATTACACCATTTGATGCAAAAATTTCATCAAACAGTGATATGATGGTGACTTATAATGCATTATTGGATATTAATGTAAAAATCAATTCATATATGTTAAAAAATGACATTTTCATTATAATGTCAATTAAATGTGGGAAATCAAAATTCAATTATCTAATATTTTTTTTATATCATCGGTAATAAAAAATATAAAAAATTCTGAACTTCAATTTCATAAACCTCAAATCTGTATTGAAGTTTCTCCTTGATTTAAAATATTCAAATAAATATATTCTTAAGCAGCAAAACTCCAAAAAATATTTTTTTTTCTCTCAGACTTAAGTAAACAAACACTGTAATAAAATAATCAAACAATCCATTTTTTTGAAATGTAATCCATCAAACAAATATATTAGAAAATATAATTGCAAACAAGTAAAAAACTTTAGTATTAATAAAATATAAATTTTTAAAATAAAATGAATTATTCTTCACAAACACCAAAGGAAAAAAAATGATCTTACAGTATTTAATTTTAAAGAACTTTTCATAATAATGAATTTTGAAAAAAACATCATTTTTATTTCATAAATTAATATGTATGTATATGATATGTGGTTTAAGTATATGTATATATATAAAAAGAACATAATTGCATTAAAATTATTTATTATTATTATTTACATAAAAACAGACAATTAGAAGTTTTAAATGAATTATATCACGAGTTTTAAATGAATTTTGATAAAAATTATTTTATCAAATTTCTGAAAGCAATTATTTTTTATTTTATTTTTTCTTTTTGAGAATTTTATTGTTTAAAATAAGTTTTATTGAAAACATCTACATGTTACTAATAAACATTTTAACATTTATTTCCTAATTTCGCTGAAAAAAATTGTCTGTGTTAACAGATTGTGAAGGAGTTTCACTCAAAATAAATATCATGTAGACAAGAAGTAAACATTTTGGAATCTGGTCAAGTTTTGGGGCTAATGATAAAAGAATTACTTTATAAAAGATGTTTTACAAATAAATTATTTAGAATAGCCAATAAATAAGATTTGGAAATGATACCATATTTTAAAAAAATCATCATCTACATAATAATAATAATTAAAGAATCTCTCAAAAATTTTTCATTTTCTTCAAAACATTTCCATAATCAATGAAATATAATAATAAAACCATTTATTATTATATCAGTAAACAACAGTAACAAGTTATACAAAAAAAATCATATATGAAAATATTATATATATATAATTATGGGACTGTTGTAGAAACTGGAAATATAGGAATTTGTTTGTATGATCATCAAGAGAAAAAATTTTACAATAATTTTTCACTGCTTATAAGAAATATAGTCTCAAAAACATTCTGAAATGTATTAAAAAGATTTTTCAGCCAATTTAATAATTATATTTTATTCTGTTAGTTGAATATTAACTATAAAAAATTAATTACTCAGAAGATAAACTTTGTAACTGAATGATATTATTTGGATATTTTTCAATTGATTTCTATTTCTGTTTAGACATACAGAACAGAAATTTTATTCCTAAACATTCCAAAAATTGAACTTACAAAGTAATATTTTATGCAAATTAACATATAAATTGGTATATTTTCAGTGTAGAGCAGGGGTTGCCAAACTTTTTTGATCATTGACTCCTACAACTTTTCAAAACCTCACATCGACCCCCACCAAAAAGTTTGTGTTACAAGCAAAAAAAAAACAATCTCTTAATATTTTAATATATATCTTTTAATTTTACATTTTTTACATTTATTGTATAATGTTAATAATAATTTTTGTAACTGACAATCAATAAGATGGATAAGCTTGATAATCCTTAGCAAGATTAGCAATATTCGGTTCAAAATTTGTAAGTTTTAGTCTTTTCGTCAACCCCCAATAATGTTATATTGACCCCCAGGGGTCGATATAGACCACTTTGGCAATCCCTGGTGTAGAGTATAGTGTCTGAATATACATAACAAGTATAATGCATTTAAATACTTTTAATGTATTTATCAAAAATTAAAATCAGTTCTCTTGTACATGATAAGAGCATCAGAATTATTACTATAATAATATTTTTTGCTTTCATATTGAAAAATTTCACTAAATAGGTTAGCAACAGACATACAATCTTATGATTCATTATTAAAATATTTGCTTAGTTGTTAAAAAATTATGATGAAAATGAAAAATTTATCTCAACTTTTATTTAAGGAAATTTTTTAAATTTTAGAATTTTCCTGTATTTAAACTAATGGTAAAATTTGTTTTTTGGTGCATTGATATCAAAATACAAATAATGATCTCTCAACGTTATCATTTTATGATCATTTTGTATTCTACACTTCTTTACTTCTAGACGCACCGGTAACAGGTTAGAAAGAGTTATCATTTTGTATTCTTTTTTTTCAGTATTATTATTAATAGAAACTAATAACTAATGAAAGAAAAGAGAATATGCATTATTTTAAATTATTGTTTTATCAAAAACAAATTTATCTCATGGTATATTTTAATACTGATAAAGATAAATTGATCAATTTAATTTAGATAATAAATTTTTCCATTCAATTATATAAGTTATATTCTAAAAAATATAAACTTTTATTAAATTAATTTCAAGTAATACAAAATATTAAGAAAAAATTAATATTTGAATCATTTTTCTGGAAAATTTAAAATTTATTTTCTGTTATTTAATATATGTTTGATATATTAAAATAACAAATAAAATAAAATTCAATGTTTCAAAGATCTGGATAAATTTTAGCATTACTTAAAAATTTTTAGATGGGTTATCTGGAAATGCTTTTATTAATTAATTATTTTTTACATTAAGAAGTATGAAAAAGTTATTTAACTTTTTAAAAGTAAAAACATATTTCTTGAGTAAATGTTAAAATATTTTTATTAATGATAAAATATTCATTAATATACAGGCAAAGACAGATAATTCATTTCTAAAAATGTGTATGAAAGTCAAATGTCCAGAAAAAGCAAAAGAGTTGCATATTATATAATTACCAGAGAGTTAATAAGAGATTCTATAATTTTTCTTTTTAAGATAACAGTAAATATGTTACAACATATAAAACATTATTTAAAATGTTCAAACCACTAACAGAAAGTAGACAATAAAAATTAATTTTTACAAATGATTTTGATGCTACTGAAACCAGAACTGACAAAATGCCATAACATGATAGGTTGAAATTTTTGTTTGTCAACTGAAAATATAAAAGTTTGAATCTGGCATATGAAAAGAAATGTGGGAGTATTGAAGTATTATGTTAGAAAGAGCAAGTTGTCCAAAATAGGGACCACTTGTATTGTAATCTTTTTCTTAATAACATAAAATGTAAATTTACAAACTTTATTTATCAGCCAAGCTACATGGTTGATTTTACATTGCTGACTAATACATAAGTAAGTTAATGTCCATATCCTTGCATATCTAAGTTTCACAATAATTATCAATTATAAAATGAATAATCAATACCAGGTGTACCAGTTAATAATGCAGATTTTGTTCAATAGATGGCATTACACATACGTTGAAATACAGTGGGTGATCAGTTAATGAGCAACAATTCAAAACTTTTTGGAGCGAGGAAGACGTCGACATCGACGCTCAACCCAGTATATACTGATCAGATAGTATTCCTCCAAACTTTGAAACTCTCTCTTGTAATTCCAGCCTTTTATTTTTCTGACAGAAAGAATTTCTTATAGTATTCACGAGACTGTCGGGTGGGCACTCGTTAAGTTTTGTCTCAGTTTTTATTTTTGAAAGGTGAGAGTATAATAGCAAAGGTAGAGTGGACAGATGTCTGATGTTGCTGGACAGTATGGCTTGAACAGGTCAACAGTAGGCTGCAGTTCAATCTTATCTAAGAAAGATACAGTATAATCAAGAAGATTCAAGCAGCTAAAAGAGTAACAAAAATCACAGCTGAGAAATAAAGAACATTGAAGAGCTCATAATGGAATCAGCCTGAAACAGATCTGACAACATGAGAACACCAAGAACTCTTGAATGAAGAACACCAAGAAACTCGGCGAGATATGTTTTCTTCTGAAAAAAGAGGATTAATGCTGAGATCTGCTGTTAAAGATGTTTTGATGAAATGGGAGGTTGTCAGAACAACGGTCTTAGAATAGCAGATTGAGGTTAATAGGCTTAGGGATCTCTACAACGACAATGCTATTAATTACTTCCGAAAAATCGTGAGGAAAAGAGAAAACCAATTGATATTAGACAGATTCTTTAACATCCCACAAACAGAAAAAACATGACTGATAAAAAAGCAAGACTGTGTATACATGTATTTTTATTATTACATATAAATAAATGTAGTAAGAAAGAATATAATTTTTTATTTTTGGGGATCTCCAGAATGGATTAATCAAATTCCCATAGAAATCTATGGTAAATTTATAATCGGTTAACAAACGCAGTCTTGGAATGGATTATGTTCATCAATTAACCGATCACCCATTGTATATGTGATTTGATATGCATGCCATTTTGTTGTATTGACAACAAGCTTTAAAACTTCATATGTCTAATTTTCTGAAGGTGTTAATATCATAAATATTTTTACTTTTAAAAATGTCAAATTTTGTACCAAAAAAAAAGAGCATTTGCAGGAAGTTTTAATTCATTATTTTATTTTGAAGATAAGTGCTGCTAAAAGTTATTGTATACCTCAGGTAGCTTATGGTAAACATGCTCCATCTGAAGATAATTGTGAATGCTGGTTTAAACACTTTAAAAGTGATGATTTCGATGTGAAAGAGAAAGAACATCCACCTCAACCAAAAAAGTTTGAAGACCAACAATTACAAGCATCCTTGGATGAAGATGCATATCAAACTCAAAAAAAACTTGCAGAAAGATAAAAAGTTGCTCAGCAAACAATTTCCAATCATTTACAAGCAATGAAAAAAGATTTTAAAAAAAGGAAAATGGGGGTCACATCAACTGAATGAAAGACAAATGGAAAACCAAAAAGTCATCAGTAAAATGTTGCTTCACTGGCATGAAAAAGTCTTTTTTGCATTGAATTGAGACTGGCAATGA